AGGCAGCTAACAAAACCAGCTTATGAGGCTTTTTTGTTTTTAAAATGCAGTTGGAACAGTGGAGGCAGCCTGGCTGGGTGTGGTCCACTCTCAGACCAGAATTTCTAGTTTTTTTTAAAAAAGTTTTTAGGTTTACTTTAGACAGCTGCAGTAGAAGCTATCTTTTCCCCCTCTTCGTTGCAGCCAGAAGCTGCAGTTTCTCTCTGCTCCGGGGTTACCTGTGAGAAAATCTATTTTTCTGAATTAGCTTTTTTGCCAAAGGATGTGCAAAGGTGCTTACATTTGGTGAAGAGACTTACTGTGGGCAGTCCACATGGTTTTATGCAGAGAGAGTCTTGTCTCACAAACTTGAATGAGTTTTTTGAGGAAGTGAAGATGACGATTGATGAGGGTAAGGCAGTGGATGTTGTTTACATGGACATTATTAAAACATTTGATAAGGTCCCTCATCGTTAGGGTACCAGGGATAGAATGGAGGGAGTGAATCTGGGTGGGATGCTCTTTGGAGGGTCAGTGTAGACTTGATGGGCTGAATGGCCTGCTACCACACTGAAGGAAATTTAAGATTCTATGCTTCTGGCCCAAAAATTCAAGTCACATGGAATCCATGAGGAGTTGGCAAGTTAGTTACAAAATTGGCTTGGTCTTAGAAGAGAGAAAGTAGTTGTGCAGGGATGTTTTTCTGACTTTAAGTCTGTGACCAGTGCTGGGGCCTTTGTTGTTTGTAATATATAACAAGTGATTTGGATTAAAATGTCAGGAGTCTGGTATGTACATTTTGCACATGCCACGAAAATTGGTGGAACTGTGGATCGTGTGGAAGGATATCAAAGGATGCAAAAGGATACAGATTAGCTGGAAAGTTGCGCCAAGAAGTGTCAGATAGAGTTTAATTTGGACAGTGTGAGGTGATGCATTTTGGGAAATCAAATGCAACAGGAACATATACTGTAAATGGCCAGACCTTAAGGAGTATTGATATACAGAGGGGTGCAAGTCCATGGCTGCCTGAAAGTGGCAACACAAGTGGCTAAGGTGGTAGAAAAGGCATATGACATGCCTGCCTTCACCAGTTAGAGGATTAAGTACAAAAGTTGGCAAGTCATGCTCTAACTATACAAGTCAGACCACATTTGGAGTACTATGCGCGATGATCAGAACTTCACACAATCAAAGATATGGAAGCTTTGGACAGAATACAGAAAAGACTCAAGAGAATGTTGCCTCGATTGGAGTGTGTTAGCTAGAAGGAAAGGTTGAATAAACTCGGGGTGTTTGCACTGGAGCTTTAGAGGCTGAGGGATGATGAAATCACGAGAGCATGGATAAGGTGGATAATCGAAGTCTCTTTCCCAGTATGGAAATACAAATACAAAGGGCATAGGTTTAAGGTGAAGGGGGAAAGATTTTTACAGAGGGTAGTAGGTGCCCAGTACAAGCTGCTATGGGGGAGGTGGTAGAAGCAGATACAATAGCGAAGTTTAAGAGGCATTCAGGCATATGAGCAGACAGCGAATTGAGGGATACAGACTATGTGCAGGCAGATGGGATGATTTTAGAATAGCATCATGGTTGACACAGACGCAGTGGGCTGAAGGGCCTGTTCTATGCTGTGTTCTTACGTCATTAAACTTGAGCGGGTGTAGAAAAGATCTGAGGATGTTAATGGGACAGCAGGGTTTGAGGGAGAGGCTGAATAAATCATAGAATCCCTACACAGTGTGGAAACAGGCCCTTTGGCCCAACAAGTCCACACCGAACCTCCGAGCATCCCACCTAGACCCATCCCCCTATAACCCACCTAATCTACACATCCCTATGGGCAATTTAGCATGGCCAATCCACCTAACCTGCACATCTTTGGACTGTGGGAGGAAACCGGAGCACCCGGAGGAAACCCACGCAGACACGGGGAGAATGTGCAAACTCCACACAGGCAGTTGCCCAAGGCTGAGAATCGAACCCGGGTCCCTGGAACCGTGAGGCAGCAGTGCTAACCACTGAGCCACCGTGCCGTCCCAAGGCGGCTACACCTAGATTTGAACTCAGACCACAGGGTTCAGAAACCAGCACGCTCACCATTACACCATGGCAACCAGAGCCAAGCAATAAGCTGGGGCTTTCTTACCTGGAGCATCAGAGGCTGAGGGATGACTTTATAGAGATTTATAAAATCACGAGGGGTGTGGATAGGGCTAATTGCTAAGGTTTTTTCCCACTCCCCCACCAAGGGTGGGTGAATCCAAAACTAGAGGGCAGAGCTTTAAGGAGAGAGGAGAAAGATTTAAAAGAGAACTGTGGGGTAACATTTTTACACGGAGGGTGCAGCATGTATGAAACAAGCTGCCAGAGGAAATGCTGGAGGATGGTACAGTTACAACATTTAAAAAGGCATCTAGATGGGTTGATGAATAGGAAGGGTTTAAGAGGAATAAGGGCCAAATGCTGGCAAATGGCACTAGGTTGGATTGGGATGTCTGGTTGGTGTGGACGAGTTGGATCAAAAGGGTCTGTTTCAATGTTCTATGACTCCTCATCAGAACACAGATGCTGCTAGACCTGCTGAGTTTCTCCAGCAATTTTCTGTTTTTTGGTTGCAACATAACTTCCTGTTCTTATAATCACGACTGATATAGGCAAGTGCCCCTGTGCCTTAACTGAACATGGTATGGTTCAAAATAACGATCACAACACGATACGGTTCAAATTTGAAAAAGATTGCCTGCAAAAGACGGCTTTGGACTTTATTTGGTTGGGGGTGAGGGGGGGCGCGGAGGAGTGGAGATTTTATTAAAATAAAGCAGGATCTGGCCGCAGTAGACCGGGAACAGCTCCATATGGATAAGTCTACAGGCAGAACAATGGGAGGCATTCAAAATGGAGGGAACTTAGGCAAGCAATTAGAGGAGCAAAAAGGGGGTTTGAGAAAGGACTTGGGATTCTACCTAATCCTGTTCCCAATATATATTAAAAAGAAGAGGTCAACCAATGAAAGGGTAGGACCCATTAGGGACCAAGGGGGCGACCTGTGTGTGATGCCACAGGATACAGTAAGGGTGTTGAATGAATAGTTCTCCTCAGTCTTCACTCTGGAAAAGGAGAACATAGGGGCGAATTCAGGAAAAGGAACTATGAGGAACTTCCACAATTTGACAGAGGTAATGGGGAAGTACTGGGGACTCTGTCAGGCTCAAAAACAGTCAAATCACCTGGCCCAGATGAATTTTATCCCAGTCTGCAATGGGAGGCAAGACAGAAAATGGCAGGGCCTCTGGCACAAATTTTTAATTCCTCTCTGGCCAAAGGGGAGCAGTCAGAGGACTGGAGGACAGTAAGTGTGGTTCCACTTTTTAAGAGACTGGGGAGTCTCACATCAGTGGTAGGAAAACTATAGGAGAAAATTTTGAAGGAACAAATTAATACCCACTTGGAAAAGCACAGGTTAATTCAGGATAGTCACCAGAAGAAAATTTGATAGCATTTTTCAAAAATGAGATTAAATGTGGGGATGAAGGAAGTTCAGTTGATGTAGTTTATATGGATATTGGCAAAGCTTTCGACAAGGTCCCACATGGGAGATTGACTGAGAAGGTTAAAGCACATGAAATGGAGGGAACCTTGGCAAGATGGATTAGAAACTGACTTAGTATTAGAGCACAAAGGTGGTGGTAAAAGGCTGTTTGACTGACTGGAGGCCAGTGTCCAGCACTGTACCACAAGCATCAGTACTGGGACCTTCATTGTTTGTTATATACATAAAATGATACAGTTGAAAATGTGGGGGCAACGTTAAGCAAATTTACAGATGACACTAAGATTGTAGTGTGGTTAATAATGAAGATGATCATGGTTATAGGTTACAGGAAGATATAGATGGGTTTGTCAGATGGACAGACGGTATTTAACCCTGATAAGTGTGAGGTGATGCACTTTGAAAGAAAAAACAAGATAAAGGGAGTATTTAATGGATAGCAGGACACCATGTAGCTTAGACAAACTGAGGGATCTTGGGGTAACTATTAACAGATCCCTGAAGTCAGCAAAACACGTGACTAAGATAGTTAAGAATGCATATGGGACACTTCATTTCATCCGTTGTGGCATAGGGTATAAGGGCAAGGAGGTAATGTTGGAGGTGTACAGTGCTGGTCAGCCACAACTGGAGTACTGTGCATAACTCTGGTCGCTTAACTTCATGAAGAGTATGATAAGCACAAGAGGGGGTACAGAGGAGGTTCACCAGGATGTTGCCTGGAATGGAGAAACTGGGCTATAAGGAGGGACGAGACAGACTTGGATTGTTTTCATTAAAGCAGAGAAGACTGAGGGGGTCATAATTGAAGTGTATAAGATTATGAAGGGTATGGACAGGATGAATAGAGAGTAGCTGTTCCCCTTGGTTGAGAGGGTTAATCACGAGGGGGCACAGTTTTGCCTAAGGGACAGGAGATTTAGAGGGGATTGGGAAAAAACTTTTCCACTCAGCTGGTGTGAGAATCTGGAATGCACTGTCTGGGAAAGCAGTGGAGCTTACAACCTTAAAAAAAAATTTGGATGAGTACTTCAAATATCATAACATTTAAGGGTATGGGACTAGCGTAGTTTTAGTGGTAGTTCTATTGGCACAGACTTAACGGGCCTAGCGGCCGTTTCTGCACTGTATGAATCCATGATTCTACCCTATTAAGCTGTTCTGTCGCCTTCAAGGATCTGTGGGCAAGCACACCAAGATCCCCCAGATCCTTTGAGCTTCCTAGTGTCCTACTGTTCATTGGAAGAAGTAAATGAACAAGGGAGTACTCAAATTGCATCACCTCACACTTACCTGGATTAAATTCCTTCTAATACTGATCTGTCCATATAGTCAACCCATTTATATCCTCCTGTGCCTCAAGACCTTCTTCCTCACAGTCATCCACCTGTTTAAACTTTGTGTCATCTGCAAAATTACTGAGATAGATAGTTACTTCGATAAGTCTTTTTTTAAAAGAAAGACTTACTTGTAACAACGTGTAGGTAGAGTTCTTCTTGAGGAACGTTCGAGCAGTACGTTCTCTCCATGCTCGAGCAGCTGCTACTTGGGATTCCACTTGGGGAAGTGGATCCAGCCGCACTGGTATAGGGCGCCCTCTTGCAAGTAGGCTTTCCAGCTGATCCAGATACGCATTGTACGATCCCTTCTGTACATATCAGAAAATATCACAGTAAGGCAACACCTCAAAATAATTGATCCTAAACTTTTAAGACAAGACAGAACCTGCCGTAAACAAATAACGAATGCTGGAGCAGTATCCAAAAATAACATCACTTTTGGAGCAGACCACAATGTTTATCATGCTTTAGGCTTAAAGCTTCAAACATGATCACCTCCATCACTTTTCTTATTACTGACACAATAGGATAATATTAAATAAGGAGCTTATTATTGTAAAATCAGTGTATTATAGTTCCAGAGGACCTTAAGGCCACTCTCATTAGAAAGAGGTGACTGGTGGTGAGTTTAACTGAAATCACCACACCAAGGTGAGGGGTGAGATAGAGAAAGCCAGACCTTCATAGTAACTTCAGTCAAGTTTAGGAACTGAACCCTGACTGGTGACATCACTACATGTAGATGTAGGGCACAAAAGGAGACCAGTCACTTGATTGGCTCTTCTTTCCCCGAACACCGTTTATAACCAGGATTGCTCGCTTCTCATCTTGGCAAAGGTTACAAAACCCACACTTCTTTTGTGCCTTTCTGGTTTGCATTCCAGCTGCTATTTCAAGCAGAAGCTTTTATTTCAATCTCACTTTGCTTCCATCTCTGAGGTTTCCTCTCTCTTCCCTCCATGTAATCCAATTGTGCCCTTTTTCTTCCCTGCTTCAGGTACTTATCCATTACTAATAACACCGAGGCAGTGTAGATCAGGTTATAGGGGGATAGGTCTGGGTGGGATGCTCTGAGGGTCAGTGTGGACTTGTTGGGCCAAAGGGCCCGTTTCCACACTGTAGAATTCACAGAATCCCTATGGTCTAAAACAACAGTTTGAATTGCGTTCTGATCTAGAGGCCTAAATTGTAACAGGGAATGACTTGATGTTCGGACCAGATACATCAGACTCCTAAGGGGAATGTGGCTTAATCAGTCTTTTTTTTTTAAACTGAGTGATCTATACAAAATATGAGCATGTAAAATATCAATATTTGTGTTAAAAATAAAGCAAAGTGAAAAATTATTCACAACAGAAATGAAGACAAGCAAGGGAAAACCACCCTATTCTTTTGTGACATATAGATAACTATTATCAATATATTCCTGATCTGGCTTTGTTCAAGGGCTATACTATCTCTGGCACCATTTTTAAGTCTTTTTCATTTTAAGATCTCACAAAACTCCTCTTCACCTCTTTGCTACTGACTGCAATACAACACTCCTGTCTGAGAATAATATTCTAAGATAACCTCATTATTTTAAACGGTTTTTCTTCAGAACGCTGCTTAGTGCATATTACAGTGAAAGACTTCTAAGCATTTCAGAGCCTGATTGAAGTTTCTCCCTTGAACGACTTCCCACCAGACTGTAAAAATGAAAATCAGGAGTCTGACAAATTCTTTCCCCCTCAGCTTTCTGGCTAACTTCCTCTTGTTTAGAATTAAGGATATTAGAATTACGGGTATTTTATATAGATGTACATACATATGTAATAGGTAAAGTCACCACGGTCTTACCGGACTATGGAGCTGTTCTCTCATTGGGACAGAGTGGGAGGGGAGGAGGTTTAGAGAGAGCGCGAGCGCGGGCAAGCCAGCGGGGGAGGGAAAGGCAGGTTGTGTCTTAATCATGCCTCAGGCAAGAGAGAGGTTAAGGAGGACAGTTCTTCATGGTAACCTCAGCTGGGAACTGAACCCATGCTGTTGGCATCACACCTCATAACCAAGCTGTCCAGCAAAAATGTGCTAACCCTACCCAAAATAACATATGCCCTTCAATTCAGTTGCCCTCCAGAGACCACAGCCAATGACTGTTTCTAGTTGTCAGTGGCAATGTCTGTCACTGTCATAGATCACTCACAGTTGTCATTGTAGCAGAGTTGCAAAGGCCCAGGAAGTTGTGACCCAAGGATTAGCTCAGTGTAAAATATGGTCATTGGGTATGCAGCCATCATCCACCAGAAGGGCATGGCTGAGCCAGCACAGACATTGCTGGCTTAGCAATTAGTACATGCCAATGGAATTGCTTCCCTCCACATCTGGAGTTAGTGACCTTGACCTCTCAAGAATAGTGAAGGTTTCACTGGACATAAAATGTGAAAACCGTTCATAAGAAAGAATTTAATAAGCTGGAACAATTCAGGTCTGATAGCATTGGTGAAAGGAAAGAATAAATGTTTCCGGTTGATGACCTTTCATCAGAATTGACAGGAAATGGAAAGGTCAGAGTTGTTATACCTGTGGAATGAGGCCAGTAGAACAAATTGGAAGGTCTGGAGTAGGGTGGGGTTCAGGTGAGATTAGATTGAGAGATGAGATTTCATAATGCAACAGCCAAAAAGGAGTATTAATGAATATAGAATACTAAAGAAACTAATTACTACAAAAAAGTCATCTGAATACAACACCAAAGGATAAAGAAAACAACACTGACTGAGAGGAACAAAAAAAAAAGGGAAGGAAATACAAGGAGACAAAAAAAAAAAAGTGGTTGTTAAACCTGATGCTCAGTCTAGAAAGCCAAAGAGTGCTGAGTCTAAAGATAAAGTGTTGCTCCTGAACTTGTAAGCACTTCACTGGAACACTGCACCACCTCCCATAATGTCACTGGTTTAGTAATCCAGAAGTTCGGGCCAGTAGTCCGTAGGCACAGGTTCAAATTCCACCAATGGCAGCCGGTGGAATTTAATTACTCAGAACAGATCTGGATTTGAAAGCTAGTTTCATGGTCATAATTTACCAAGCTGATCACTGATAGTTATAAAAACCCATCTGGTTCACTAATGTCCTTTTGGTAAGCAAATCTGCTGTCCTGACCGAGTCCAGCCTGCATGTGACTTCAGATATGCAGCAATGTGAACGACTCTACTGCTCTCTGAAACAACGGAGCAAACCACTCTGTTTAAGAGCGTGTAGGAGGGGCAACAAATGCTGGCCTCGCCGGAGATATCCACATCCAAAAAAGAATTTTTTTAAAAACTGCAGCAGGCCCTGGAAAGAGACGTTATCACAGGAGTGCTGTGGACATTAAAAACAACAAACAACTGGAAGTTTGGGGTTGTACTTACAAACTAAAGTAGTGCTCTGCAAATCACTGGATTTATAATCCAAAATCCCAAGCTAATGTTCTTGGTACACAAGTTCAAATTCCACCATGGTAGATGGTGAAACTAAATTCAATAAAAAAAAACTGGAGTAAAACGTTTGCATGTAACTATTGTCGATTATTATAAAAACCCATCTAGTTCATTAATGTCTGTTAGAGAAGATAACCTGGCATCCTTCCCTGGACTGGTTATGGGTGACTCCAGACCTACGGAAATGTGTTTGATCCTTAATGGCCCTCTGGATAATTAAGAATGGTCAATAAATGCAGGCAATTAACCCACTAAATAAAATCTGCCTTTCCTGGATCCTCTGCTAAATTTCTCTTGCACCCTTTCATGGATTCTCGCATCCTTGTAGTTATGCCACTATCTATGAAGACTCTGTTCTAATGAGTGAAAGTTTAGAAATAATAAAGGAAGAGTAATATGATAATCTTGGCACCAACTCCATCCCCTCTCTTCAGCTATGATTTCAGATTTAACTACATGGTTCATGAACTCTATGATCAGTCCACGACAAATGCAGAAAGACCTGAATAATATCCATGCTTGGGCTAACAAGCGGAAAGTAACATTCACACCACCTAAGCATCAGGTAATGGTCACATCCACACATTGTAAACCTACACTGTGAGGTAGGCCATTCTGCCCGAGTCGACACCGATCCTCCGAAGAGCATCGCACCCAGACCCAATCACCTACCCTATCTCTGTAACCTTGCATTTTCCATGGTTAATCCATCTAGCCTACAAATCCCTGGACACTATGGGCAATTTTCTATGGCTAATCCACCCAACCTGCACATCTTTGGACTGTGGGAGGAAACCAGAGCATCCGGAGGAAACCCACGCAGACATAGGGAGAACATGCAAACTCCGCAGAGACAGTCGCCAAGGGTGAAGTCAAACCAGGGTCCCTGGTGCCGAGAGGCAGCAGTGCTAACCACCGAGTTGCCCAAGTGTATGCATCCAGTCCAACAAGAAAAGATGCATTGTAAGAACAAAAACCAAAATTGTCAGAGAATCTCAGCAGGTCTGCCAGTATCCGTGGCAGTATCCATGAGCAGCTGACAATGTGGTGGCTGTGGTAGCAGCCTATGGGATGACATGTGCGTGGCATGTCAACTAATAACGATCCCCATTATCAGCTATTGATTCTCCTGGGCTGACCATAACTTATTCCTTTGTCTGCCCAATTGCTGTTTCTTTGGTTTAGTTTAGGGTGCATTGTTGGATCTGGTTCTTAGAAATGATGTGAACCAAGTGGATCAAGTGTCAGTGGAGGAACATTTAGGAGACAGTAATCAATGAATCAGAAGTTCAGGATGACAGTGGAGAATGACTTGCATCAATCCAGAGCAATAAAGATTTACTGGCAGAGTGGACTTCAAATCAGGCAAGAACAGAACTGGTCAGAAATGGTTGGAATGAGAGATTCAGAGGGATCGTGGAAAAGCAAAGGGAAGCAAGAAGAGAAGCAAACAGGAATTATTACAAAGGCTAGCAGTCAACATAAAACGGGTGCCAAAACATTTTTTTATAGGCATAAGTAGTAAAAGTAGTAGTAGGGACAGTTAATGACCAAAAAGAGGATTTGCAACCTGGAGGCAGGGTGCATGGTTGAGGCATTAAATTAATACATTGCAACAATATTTACCAAAAAGGGGGAGATGCTCTCAGTCCATGGTGACACAAAAGGAAACTCAGTCATTAGAAGGCTTCAAAATTGATCAGGGAGAAGTATCGAACAGACTGTTGGTACTTAAAGTTGACAAGCACCATGACAAGCACCAGGACTAGATGAGATACATCCAAGGATTTTGAAGGCAGCAAGAACTGAAATTGCAGGAACACCGTCCAGAGATGCACACATTACAGCTTTGCTCAAGAAAGGTTGTAAGTATTTGCCAACACCACAGTCAGTTTTTAAACTTCAGTGGTGGGAAGCTTCTTGAAGTGATTCTTCGGGATAGAATTAGTAGCCACACGAGAAAAGGTTGGCTGCTTACAAACAGTCAGCATGGATGTCTAAAGGGGAAATTGTGTTTAAACAGCTTGGAACTTTCTCAAGAGATAACAGAAAGCCTCAATGCTATTAAATCGATTGTGTACGTGGATTTCCACAGGTCTTTGACACAATGCCAAACAACAGACTTGACGAAAGTTGTAGGTCATGGAATAAAATGGTCAGTAGCAATGTTGATAGAAAATTGGCTGAATGATAGGAAACAGTGTAATGGCCGATGAATATTTTTCAGTCTGGAGGAACGTTTGTCGTGGAAATCGCCAATGGTTTGTATTGGGACCCTTGTTTTTCCCATACAGTCAGTTCTGCTATAAACACAATAGTTGCGTTCCTGTGTAATATAATGCTATAGAAATAATGAGGCCTACAGGAAAAGCGGGGTTAGGGGCAGACCACCAAAACAAAATCATTCAAAAATCGCTCACAAATCACTCAAAAACCTAACACAAAAGGACAGTACAGTTTGAAAAATGTTTAATTCCTATAAATTAATAAACTAAAATGGCAGAATTTGCAAAATCACAGAGTACTGTAACTCTCACAGAAAGTGCTTCCCGACAAAGTCCGCAAAACAATCATGCAATGCCTGCGCAGAGACTCTTTCAGTGCTAACATTGTGCATGCTCAGGACAAAGCCTGCAAAATGATCATGGGATGTCAATGCATACTCCTCTGCACACCAATGGAATCGTGTTATAGCCAATACAAGTTTTTTTTTTTAAGAAATAGCATTCCCCTATTCGTCAGTCACATTATAGCCCATTCGCACTGCCAGAACACGTTACAGCAGAACCGACTGTACTTATAATCAAAATGTGCAGGGGACAATTTCAAAGCTTGCTACCTGACACTGAATTTGGAAGAGCCATAAATGAAGAGAAGAACATTGTACAGCTCCAAAAAGACAGACAAGTTCGTTGACTGAGCGATAGGTGACAGATGGATTTCAATGCAGAGAAGTGTGAGGTGATACACTTTGATTGGAAGAACATTGAAACACAATATAAAACTGGGGGTACAATTCTAAACAGGGTGCAGAAGCAGAGGGATCTGCACACAGATATTAAAGGTGGCAAGACAAGCGGAGAGAGTAGGAAGCATACAGTTGCCTCTGCCTTATCAATAGGGGCATTGAATACAAGAGCAAGGAGCTGATGTTGAACTTGTATGAGATACTTATTATACCTCAGCTGGAATACTACTACAGTTCTGGGTGTCACATAATAAAAAATGCATTGGAGAGAGTGTAGTAGTGATTTAGAAGAGTAGATCAGGGATGAGAAACTCAACTATGAAAGTAGATTGAAGAAGTTGGGACTGTTCTTCTTGGTGAGAAGTGAGGCTAAGAGGAGATCTGATCTTGGGTGCCAAAATCATGAGCAATCTGGATAGGGAGAAACTGTTCCCCACTTGTGGGAAAAAGCCCTTTGGATTTAAATTGCTTTACAAAAGAAGCGAGGATGAAGTCAGAAAAAACAATTGTCACACAGTGAGTAGTTAGGGTATGGAATTTATTGCCTGGAAATGTGGTGGAGCAGGTTCAACTGAGGCATTCAAGATGGCATTGGAATTACTTGAATAGAAATAATACAGGGATATGGAGGGAGAAAAGTGAGATTTGAAGTGCCAGCATTGGGATAATGGGCCAAATGGCCTCCTTCTGCATGATAAGATTTCTAGGATTCTGTGAAGAACCTAATCATTGCTCCTTGACATACAATGACATTATCGTCACTGACGACCCCACGAACAATATTCCAAGGTTTACCGTTGGCAAACCCTATAAAGACTCTGGACACATCAGCAGGCTGGGAATCCTGCAGCAAGTAACTCATCTCTTGACTCTCCAAAGTCTGTCCATTATCTCCAAGGCACCAGTCAGGAGAGTGATGGAATACTCCTCATGTGCCTGGGTGAATGTAGCTTCAACAATTGTTAAGAAGCTCAACAGCATTCAGTTCAAAGCAGCATCAAATATCCACTGCTTCCATCACCGTTGCATGGTTGCAGCATCATGTACCATGTGGAAAATACACTGCAGAAAGTCAGAGAAGGGCTCCTTCAACAGCACATTCCATTTCCAACCACCATCTCTATTTAGAAGGACAAGAGCTATTCTGACATGGAAGTAAGTTGTTTTTCCTTCAGTCATTGGATCAATATTCCTTGAACCTTCTCCTGAACAGTAGTGTGCATGTTCCTACAGCAAATGACTACAGTAGTTTAAGGTGGCAGCTCACTACCGTGTAACTGGGGACGGGCAATAAATGCTTGCCCAGACCATGTCCACATACCCTGAATGAATAAACCAAAAACAAAATTCCTTCCTTAATATCCAGATTAATTGAAGAAGCCTGAGTTTGTGCCACGTAACAAATATACCTTTCAGATTTACGAGGGGTGAGAATGTAGCCTGTGATTATTATACTACACAGTCAATTATCAGGAACTATTAATGAGTCTACAAATATAGAGAATACAGCAAACTTTTTATTAACTGGAACCTATGAAGCAGGAGCATACCAGCTGATCAAATACTCTGGATGATCAAGAAGTTCACATAATAAAATGTAAAAACACACAGAGTAATAGAAACATGATGCAGGGGGTATACACATCACTGTTATACTTCATTCACAGCATAAATCACTTAAATAATAATGCAACATTGCCTTAAGTAAACCTTACCAACAGCCAGCCAACTCATGGACACCCTTAAATGACTACTTTATGGAGACCGCAATAGTACAGTAAACGTCCAGTATTTCAGGTTTATAATTTTTGCCAGTTTATCAAGAGTGCTAGTTTATAAGGTATTTAGCTAAAACAAAAAGTTTGGTGTATAACGAACTAAGATTTAACTTTATAATTACATTTCATATATAATTTGCTACTACAGTCCATGCACAAATGTAAAACTTGACAACAGCTTCACTCCATCAAGCATCTCTCAGTTTGGCAATGAAGTCACTAATTTCGGTTTGGCAAACAAGGTGAACTCAAGCCTGGGTAAACCAGGACATTAAACGGAAAGCAGCAAGCAAACAACAAGTGCTACTTCAAAAAAAAATGCTAAAAGCACCAAATTAAACTCCGTCATTAGGCTTAAGGAACAGTTCAGCAACAGGTGGTGATGAAGATGACTGAGTACCAAGACCACCGTCTGCATTCACAGACATGAAACTTTGGTTCAACCAGAAAATGAAGGAACAGTCGTTAGAAATGCAGTGAAAGGTTTTAGAATTGAAATATCACTTTTCACTATTTACTCAACAGTTCAAATGACTCAAACTTGCCTGAATAGCTTCCACTTTTGCCATCCAGTCTTTGGCTTTTTGCAAAGCTTCCTTAAGCACCAACACATTAGGCAGATATGCAGGAATATTCTTTGCCTCATTTACAATACCATCCAGAGTTGCCATACCATGCCTTGGCCTGCAAAACAAAAAAAAAAGGGCCAGTCACCATAAATAAATAAAGAGAAATCTATCCACAAACACAAACTCAAACTTGGAATTCAATGTATTTCAAACCTAAATTCCACCCAAAATTTTCTCCCAAATACAAACGCGATCCTATGTTATTGCCAAATTTGGAAATATGGTTTTCTATTCAACGTTGCTAATACATCTGGTGAATGGGAAATCCTCAACTTATACGACACCAGCACAGAACAAAGAACAATACAGCACAGGAACAGGCCCTTTGACCCTCCAAGCCTGCACCAACATTTTGCCATACGTACTTCCAAAGTATCTTCACTTACATGATGCGTATCCCTCTATACCCTTTCTACTCATGTATTCGTCCAGGTGCTTCTTGAATGCTGCAACTGTGTCTGCTTCCACTATCTCCTCTGGCAATGTGTTCCAGGTACTCACCACTCTGTATTAAACATGCCTCACATATCTTTTTAAACTTCCCCCTTCGCACCTTGAACCTATGTTCCATAGTAGCTGACCCCTACACCCTTGGAAAAAGCCTCATACTTTGCACACTATCCATGCCATTCACACAGTCTTATAAACTTCTATCAGGTCACCCCTCAAACCCCTCTGTTCCAGTGAAAAGAAACCCAGTTTATCCAAGTTCCCTTCATAGCTAAAATCCCCCATACTAGGCAACATCCTAGTAAACCTGTGTTACAGAGGCAGTAGGAACTGCCGATGCTGGAGAATCTGAGATAACAAGGTGTAGAGCTGGATGAACACAGCAGGCCAAGCAGCATCAGAGGAGCAGGAAAGCTGACGTTTCGGGTCGAGACCCTTCTTCAGAAAGTTGGGGGGGTGCGGGAGGAATTCTGAAATAAATAGGGAGAGAGGGGGGAGGCGGATAGAAGATGGATAAAGGAGAAGATAGGTGGAGAGGAGACAGATAGGTCAAAGAGGCGGGGTGGGAGCCAGTAAAGATGAGTGTAGGTGGAGAGTTAGGGAGGGGATAGGTTGGTCCGGGGAGGACGGACAGGTCAAGGAGGCGAGTGGGTAAGAGGTGGGGGTGGGGCTTGAGGTGGAAGGAATGGTTAGGGATGCAGGGACGAGCTGGGTGGGTTTTGGGATGCGGTCGGGGGAGGGGAGATTTTGAAGCTTGTGAAGTCCACATTGATACCCTTGGGCTGCAGCGTTCCCAAACGAAATAGGAGATGCTGTTCCTGCAGCCTTTGGGTGGTATCATTGTGGCAATGCAGGAGGCCCAGGATGGACGTGTCATCCAAGGAGTGGGAGGGGGAGTTGAAATGGTTCGCAACTGGGAGGTGCAGTTATTTGTTGCGAACCAAGCGTAGGTGTTCCACAAAGCAGTCCCCAGGCCTCCGCTTGGTTTCCCCGATGTAGAGGCGGCCACAACGGGAACAACTGATACAGTATACCACATTAGCAGATGTGCAGGTGAACATCTGTTTGATGTGGAAGGTCTTCTTAGGGCCTGAGATGGGGGTGATGGGGGAGGTGTAGGGGCAGGTGTAGCACTTGCTGCGGTTGCAGGGAAAAGTGCCGAGGGTAGTGGGGCTGGTTGGGAGTATGGAGCAGGCAAGGGAGTCACGGAGAGAGTGGTCCCTCCGGAAAGCAGATAAGGGTGGGGAGGGAAAAATGTCTTTGGTAGTGGGGTCAGATTGCAGATGGCGGAAGTGTCGGAGGATGATGCGTTGGATCCGAAGTTGGTGGGGTGTTACGTGAGGACGAGGGGATTTCCGTTTTGGTTGTTATTGAGGGTAGGGGGTGTGAGGGATGAGTTGCGGGAAATGCGAGAGACACGGTCGAGGGTGTTTTCGACCACTGTGGAGGGGAAGTTGTGGTCCTTGAAAAATGAGGACATCTGGGATGGCCAGGAGTGGAATGCCTCATCTCCGGAGCAGATGCAGCGGAGGCGAAGGAATTGGGAATAGGGGATGGCCTTTTTGCAGGAAGGTGGGTGAGAGGAGGTGTATTCTAGGTAGCTGTGGGAGTCGGTAGGCTTGGAATGGATATCGTTTTCCAGGTGGATGCCAGAGATGGAGACAGAGGGGTCCAGGAAGGAGAGAGAGGTATCAGAGATGGTCCAGGTGAACTTAAGGTTGGGGTGTAAAGTGATAGTGAAGTGGATGAACTGCTCGAGCTCCTCGTGGGAGCACGAGGCGGCACCGATACAGTCATCGATGTAACGGAGGAAGAGGTGGGGGATAGGGCCAGTGTAGATTTGGAAGAGGGATTGTTCCACGTGTCCTACAAAGATAAAACTGCACCTCTCTCTCCTAATACCATGTAACTTCACCTTTTTGACCAGACTGCCAGGAGGGACTTTGTCAAAGGCTTTCCTAAAGTCCTAATGCAGACAACATCAACTGCTTTTCCCTCAACTTTCTTCTTCATTTCCTGAAAAAACTCATCAAGTTACTGACACATGACCTCCCCTGCACCAAACCATGCTATCGCTAATCAGTCCATCTGCTTCTAAATGCGTACAGATCTTGTCCCTAAGAGCATTTTTCAATAAGTTCTCTGACACCTACATGAGGCTCACAGGCCTGCAATTTCCTGGATTATCCCTGTTACTCCATTTAAACAATGGGACAACATTAGCTATTCTCCAGTCCTCTGGGACCTCACCTGTGGCTAGAGGATACAAAGATGTCTGTCAATGCTCCAGCAATTTGTTCTCTTGCCTTCCTCAATATTCTGGGATAGATCCCATCATGGCCCAGGGACTTATCTACCTTAATACATTTTAAGACACATAACACCTCTTCATTTTTATACCAATTTGGCTTAGAGATTCAACACTCTCTACCCTGAGATCATCCTCCATCAATTCCTTCTCTTTGGTGAGTACGTAGCAAAGTATTCCTTTAGGACCTGACCTACTTATTCTGGCTCCACAAACAGATTCCCTTTTTTGTCCTTGAGTGGGCCAACCTTTTCCCCGGCAACCTGCTTACTTTTTATACATGTATCAAAAGCCTTGGGATTCTCCTTAATCCGGTTTGCTAATGACTTTTCACTATCCCTTTTACCCCTTCTAATTCTTTAAGTTAAGCAACCACATTTCTATCAGTTTCAAAATATATTATTGCAGTATCCTTCTGCTCAGCCAATTCAAGGTCAATAATTTAGTCTCAATTCCATGAGCTTCATCAAATAGCTCTTCTGATCAAATCCAGCTCTCTTAGATCCCAAGCCCAACACATACAAATCTAAAACTGAACAAGATGCAGTCATTAACTCAGCATATACACACCCCATGATTCGAAAGAACTGGATTAACATCAGAAATGGGTAAAATTACTAACCAACAAAGCAAGTGAGCACAATTTGTGGGAGGTGAATAAACATCAGGAATAGGTGTAAGGGGAGGCAATGGCCTCGTGGTATTAATTGCTGAACTATTAATCCAGAGACCCAGATAACATTCCGGGGACCCAGGTTCAAATCTTGCCATGGCAGATGGTGGAATCTGAATTCAATGAATATCTGGAATTAAAGGGTCTAACGATGACCAAGAATCTATTGTCGATTGTCGGGAAAAACCCATCTGGTTCACGAATGTCCTTTAGGGAAGGGAACTGCCATCCTCACCTGGTCTGACCTACATGTGGTTCCAGACCGACAGCAATGTGGTTGACTCTGACCTGCCCTCTGGGCAATTAGGGATGGGCAATAAATGCTGCCTAGCCAACAATGCCCTCACCCAGTGAATGAATTTAAAAAAACGTTATTTACCCATAGAGCAAATGAATCCTGCATACTGTGAGGAAGCAGGATCAGGAATAGGCACAGGCATTGGTCCAAATAAATTCTGAATGCATATAAATGAAGTCACTAGAATGCTTAACTGCCTTGAAATTTTGATTCTCCTCTACAAGATACTGAGTTTACACTTTGGCCTGCACCTGCCAAGGAGTGACAATCACTGTCAGATTGCTGTTCTACCCAAACACTAAACCGACCGATACTGCTCAGCACTTTTTTTGCCAGACATCCAAGTTTCGCAGAAATGTGAAATTTAGTGTTCATCAGAAAGTCCCGCAGTCACAGTATAGCAAAATCAAAAGAAAGATAGGACAACCGCTTTTGCAGCAACAGCTGTCGTGGCAAATTTAACTACCTAGTGTGAATGGTTGAGTGAAAGAGTGAGGAACTGGAGAAAGGGGCAGATGAATGGATTGGTGGGTCAAGGGGGAAGTCAGGTCAGATTGGAATGGGTTTCAGTCAGGGGATGGTTACGTAAAGAATCAGCAAGGGGAGGGAATAGACTGGGGATGAAGTGGGTGGTATGGTGGTTCAGGGGAAATGGTGGGCAGACAGAGTGATTGCGAAGGGTCACTTTTGGTCAGGAGTGAAACTAGGATCTTTTCATTTAAGATTTCCTGGACAACTATCCAGATAAGTACATCGGAACTGTTTGGAACTCTAGCTCAGAGTCAGATTTTGTGGAGAGTCTCAGGGACTATGGGAAGTGCATGTCAAATTTTAAATTTCTACGGCAATCTCCTTAAAGCTAAGTGCATTGAGACTTCTGTGGGATCCTGACATGCATATCCAGTCATACAAACACACGGTGATGATGCAAAGACCAGAACATTTGGAGGATTATTTTCAAATTATCCAGAAGAAACTACCATCGAGAACAGCCTAGTTTGGATTATATTTACATTGCAGAAACATTTTCAGGTGTTAATTTGTCTGCACTATTGTTTACCATACCTGGCTTGTAGACAAGCCTTGGCCTTCTCTTCCCAACGCTCTGACACAGTCAACAGTTCCTGTAAATCAGCCATCGCTTTTTCCACTGCACTATGTGGTGCCAGGGCAATCCCAGAGTCTATGAGCTTCTTCATGGCATCTAGAGTGACTCTGGCAGGGTCTGAGAGGGTGAGGTTCACTTCATCAAGCCAACGAGCCTGTTGGAGATGCTGTTTCAGTTTAGGTAGTTCCTGCAGCTCCACATCTAACCCAGAGCCAAGTTCTAGCAGCAGTTGTAACTTGGAGGAGTTAGGAATTTCATCTGATAAAGCCTCCTTACAACGCTCATGGAACTCCTCCACATTGTCCAGCAGCTCCTGGCATCAAATAAAAATGAGACATCTCTTTATGTTTGATTTGTTTAAAAATCTTCAGTAATTTAGTTTCCATCTTTAGATAATGAGCCAAAGGGTGCATGAACAGCCAGCCTACTATTAGTGAATTTTAGATGCCACTTTAAAGTTGTTAATCAGCTGGCACAACTGCCATCTTTTTCTTTTTTGCAACTTTCTGCATTCACTCGATGCTTTCTTCTTTGAATAATGTTCCTTCCTGAAACCCTTAAATAAGCTGGTACTTCAGCTCACATACTCCTTAACATATGCTCCTTAAACTGAGCCTTCAACAGCTTTTTGTTTCTGGAGCTTTTGTCTGAAGCAACTTATGATTTTTTTCCTAGTTCTGACTGCTTTTTCGACTGATAATATTCACAACATACCTGCTGTTACAGCCCTTTTTCTCTCTACATGTACCTGTACCCTGCAGGCTGTCTTCTCGATGATTCTGACTTAATGTTACTGGACTTCCATCACTAGGTAACAGTCTTTTTTTCCCCCCATCTTCAACCTTTGTCAAATTCACTGAACTATTTAAATGACATTTTTAAAATCCATGATGTAAGTGTATGTAAACTAATCTTCAGACACCACTCTCAGAACGAATCTAAAATGCAAGCAAAAATCATATCATTCCCTTAACACATACTACGACAAGATGAACTTTTAAGAGAGCTTTGTTCAGTCCTGTTTCTCTTGAAAGCAAGTGTTGTAAACCTGGCACTGAGCTGTCTGTTCCACGCAAAGCAGTGTAGATAGCTTTGGTTTTTTTTTAAGAAAAGACAAAAGTAGCAGTGAGTAGAGTCATGCTTACGCAGACCCAGGGTTTTGCTTTCAGTTGGTGAAGCTAGGATTTCAGCAGTGGTTCCAGCTCGCTATCTCTGCTGCTGCAAAAGCTGAGTTCTCACTTTGCTGCTAGATTCATGTTTTTGGTTTTATCCTTTCTGCTGGTCTGAAAACAACAAGTGAAGGAGATCTATTTTGTGATTTTTCTTAAAACACAAGATGTTTGGTCTCAAATGTCTTCTGTGGCAGTAAATTCCACAGGCTCACCACCCTCTAGGTGAAGTTTCTCCTCATCTAATTGGCCTTAGACCTGGTTCTAGATTCCCCGAGCATCAGGAACATCCTTCCAGCATCTACCCTGTCTGGTAGAATTAGAATTTTGTGTTTCCAGAGATCCTGCCACCCCATTCTTCTGAATTCCAGTAAATATAAACTGAACCAATTTAAACCCTTTTCATAAATCAGTTGTACCATTCCAGGAATCGGTCTAGGAAAACTTTGTTGCACTCTCTCAAAAGCAAGAACATGCTTCCTCACATTAAGACACCAAAACTGCACACAACAAGGCCCTCTATTATTGCAGCAAGACATCCTGTACTAAAATGTTTCAGCTATGAAGGTCAAATTTGCCTTCTTAACCGCTGACTGACCTGCACACGTACTTTCAGTGACTGGTTTATGAGGAAATCCAAGTCTCACTACACATTCCCCTTTCTCTATACATAGCCAGATAATAATTCCACTTTCTGTTATTGCTCCCAAAAGGGGATAACCTCACATTTATATGGCATCTGCTATGGATTTTCCCCAATCACACCGAAACATCTGATTGTCACAGCCACCCTCCCACTCAGCTATGTTATCTGCAAACTGGAGATATTACATTTAGTCCCTCATTCAAATCATTAATACATATTGTAACTAACTGGGGGTCCAAACATTGAATACTGTGGTACCCCACTTTGTCACTGCCTGCCATTCGGAAAAGACCCATCTTTTTCCTACTTTGGTTTCCTGTCTGCCAACTAGTTTTCTATCCATCTCAATACACTACCCCAATCCCATGTGCTTTAATTTTACATGTCAGTCTCTAATGTGGGGCTTTGTAGAAAGTCTTCTGAAAGTCCAAACAAACCACATCCACTGGGCTCTCTCTCATCAACTTTACTAGTAACATCCTTCAAGAATTCCAGTAGATTTGTGAAGCGTGACTTGCTTTTTGTAGATGCATGCTGACTCTGTCTGATCCTGTCACTGTTTTCCAGGGCTTACAGTTGTTAAATCTTACACGATCTACTCCAGCATTTTCCCCATTAATGGTGTCAGGCTGACTCGTCTATAATTCCCAGTTTTCTCTCTGACTCCCTTTTTTAAAATAGAGGAGTAACATTAACTACCCTCCAATCTGTAGGACCTGTTCCAGAGTCTAGAGAATCTGGGAATACGACCACCAATGCATCCACTGTCTCTACAGCTACTTTAGATAGGTAGATAAAATTTATTGTTACTTGTGTTTGTGAAAATATAGTATATTGTGTCCAAGTTATCACAAAATAAATAGCGATGAAAAAAGCCTCTTAGTTTTATCAGGGCCTGTCAAACTGCCAAGGACCAAGGGCTTCTCAAAACCGCCAAGGACCAGGGGCCTGCTCAAACGGTCAAGGACCTTCCCCTGGGATGTAGATTCTCAGGTCCTGGGCTTTATCAGCCTTCAATCCCATCAAATTTCTCATCACCATTTTCCTACAAATATCAATTTCCTTCAGTTCCTCGCTCACAAAACCCTGCTTTCGCCAGAATTTCCCGTCTGTTATTTGTGTCCTCTTACATCAGTATAACCAAAATGGTGGTCAGCCACTTCCTTGTTCCTCATTGTAAATTCCCATGTTTGCGACATTAACGGACCTTCCTTTGTCTTCACATTCATCTTTTTCTCTTCACATACATATAAAACCTTATAGATTCAGTTTTGCTGTTCCTTACTCGCATTTTATTTTACCCCTTTTAATCAATCCCATTGGCATCCTTTGCAGAATTCTAAATTACTCACAATCTTTAGGTCTGTTGTTTTCTGGCCAATTTGCGTGTCTCATCCTTGAATCTAATTTGCTACCTAAATTTCCTCTGTAGAACATGCTTTAACCACCTTTCCTGTTTTACGTTTGCATCCAAAGGAATGAACAATTGTTGCAGTTTACCCACGTGCTGTTTAAATGTTTGCCATTGCCTTTCCACCATCATCCTTTTAAGTTACATCCCCAAATCTATCATAACCACCTTTCACTTCATACCATCATAGCTTCCTCCATTTAAATCCAGGACTCTAGCCTGAAAATCAACTATATCACTCTCCACTTTGATGAGGAATTCTATCATTTTATGGTTGCTCATCCCAAGGCATTTCTCACTACTAGGTCACTTCACCTGATGAAGCAGCAGTGCTCTGAAAGCTCGAGGTTTCAAATGAACCTTTTGCTATAACCTGGTGTCGTGTGACTTCTGACTTTGTCCACCCCTGTCCAACACTAGTACCTCAATATCCTAAATTATACAAACTACTTCTGCAGTTCTTTCGGTTTTTAAACTACTTCAGCTTTTTGCTGGTCCTCTATCACAAAACATTTTTTTTTTAAAATAAATGATTAAATGTATGGTCATATGTCTCATCTCTTCACTAGGTGTTTCTAAAACACATGGATGCAATCCATTCAAACTAGAGGCTTTATCCTTGATGACTGAGTAGTTTATTCAATATATTCCCCTTTTGTTATTCACAAATTCCTGACACTGAATATGAAGTTGGAATCTACTCCATCCAGCACCTACTACCAGTGACATCAATACTGAGCACTCATTGTCCACCTCCAAATGCCTACCACCCCCTCTCTCACTTCACTCACCACTTGCAACTGCCACTCACAGCCCACCCCCTCAAGTCGCCATGTTCACCACTTCCACTGGCCAATCACCATTATTCAAAATTCCTCTTCCCCCTACTCCCCTACCCCCAAAAAAATTCATTCCCACCAATTCACACTGTTTACTACTTTGCCTTCCCTTTCCTATCCTCTGCTCACTAACATCCTTCCTCCCCATCACTCACCCTATGTTACCCACACCACTGTTGCCTGAGGTAATTGAGGCACAGCAAAAGGAGCATCTAGTTGGGTGATACAGGATTCAGTGCTGTGCTCACTATTGTAAACAATATTTAATAGTAAGTGGATAAGGGAAGGGAGTGTACTTGCACCAAATCCATGGATGCCCAAAAGAAATGTGGGAAAGCAAGTGGTAAGGATGACACAGAATCTAAAGAAAGAGTTAAGTGAGTGGACAAATACTTGGCAAATGGAGTATAACGTGGGAAAATCTGAGGTTCTACACTTTGGCAGGTGGAATAGAAAAGCTGAATATTATTGAAATGGAATAAGACATAAGAAAGCTAAGCAGAGAGCAATTTGAGAGTCCTCCTGCTTATTTATTGTTTAGCAGAAAAAGCCATTTCAGCATTAAAAGTGAAGGCAAAAGAAGAGAGATTGTAGGTCTTTATTTCAAAGGGATTGAAGTATAAAACTGGAGAGGTCTTGCTAAAGCAATCCAAGGCATTGGTTCAGCTACACTCAGTATACTGTGATTAGTTTAGGTCTTCTTCTATAAGCAAAGACATGTTTCTCATTGTTGTTTGCCCATTTGATTTCTCCCTCCCAAATCATATTTGCCATAGTCGCCATGTTCACCACTTCCATTGGCCAATCACCATTACTCAAAATTCCTCTTCCCCCTACTCCCCTACCCCCAAAAAAATTCATTCCCACCAATTCACACTGTTTACTACTTTGCCTTCCCTTTCCTATGCTCTGCTCACTAACATCAAAGACAGCTTTTTCTAACATATTAAGCTGGTTTTTGTCATTCTTGTACTCTATTAATTTAAAATATATTATGATTACTATTGCCTGGATGGTCCCCTACATTTGCTGTTGATTGCCCATTATTAGATCTAAGTGAATCTTCCCTTGTTAGGCTTTGGTCAGATTGGGTCAAGATGGAAGCCTGCACACATTAAAAGGAAATCCACTTCCTTATCCCCCTTAACTATCTGCTCTGTGTAATTAACAGTCAACTGGGTAAAGCTTCCAACATTCTATATATTTTACTTGATTCTCTAATTTGACTGCATATTTCTTCCACCTCTA